AATGCGCTCAATGGCCGTGGAGATGGATCCCTCAGTCTGGACCTCACTCTCCCATTTCTCATGCGCTAGTCGACGGCTCGAGGTTGTCAAACAGCTAGTATTGAGATTTGGCGCAGTGTTGAAATCGGCTCGAAGGCCTACATTTGAGCCGTGTCTCAACAACCCCCTCCCCCATGTACGGCAGTACTTGTGAAAAACCGCGGACTCTAGGCTGCCCAAAAAAAAAACAAGTGGTGCGATCCCGTCCAACCCCGTTTTGGTTTAACACATTTGCAGCGCAGCCCGTTGTGAAGATGCTGTAAAGCACTAGCATGCATATTGGCAGTGTGACCATGCAAAGAAGTCGTACTGGAAAAATAATAAGAAGATAGGTACGAAGATGTCAGATTTGTCAACTATATAGGTACGTGTCAGTTATAAGCACGGTAATTCGACAAAAGCGTAAATAAATAGTACCTACCGATTCCCTGCACAGAGAATAGAGGGAAATAAATAGTATTTCTCCTATAAGGGTAGCTGGCTTCCAAGTTATAATAGCTACTTAAATTTCAGACAATAGCAAATTCCTGTTTGCGTGCAGAACCCCTGTTGATGTTAGTTGGTCCTGTATAAGAATGAACTACGAAAATAGAAGAAGTAAAGTAGGGGAGTATTTAAAGTACATAACTATCAGCAATTTCCGCCGCACTAAGTACGAAGGACGTTGCAAGTACATGGAGAATGAGCTAGATATTTATTCTTTACTGCAAATAACGAAGCAAAGGCACCGCTCTCGGGCGGATAAGAGCATCGAAAGACACGAGTTACGACTGACGTAGTCATGACGAGCCGAAAAACAGTTGCGATTCATGCTACCTTGGCTGGACAGAACGACATATGGTATGATTAGATGGGCGATTTAAGTAAGTTTACACTTATGACAGCAGAGACGCAAAGCAGAACGAAGAAAATTCAGTAAAGGTGACAGAAACAGTAGAAAGGCATGCGACAAGAACGATCCACAACAGCAAAAAGTTAAGTATTTTTATGAAAAATGATAGGCATTTTGATAGGAAAAGCAGATAGAACTTACCCTGAGGTGACATGAGCAAATTTACGGACTCTGTAATATCCAAAAATAGCTCATTACGACGATACTTTATTCCTTCACGGCGCCAGCTTATCTGACCAGTGACTTGGTTAGTGATCTGAGTAGTCTCTTCCTTCGTTGCAGAGCGGATAGCTGCCTGGGTGATAAGGTTGCGTAGAACACCTGTATCAGTGTTCTGTGCATAGCCATAATCTATGGCTTCTAACGGGGAGCAGATTTAGAGATGGGACAGACGGAATTACCATCCAAAAGTTCGTAAATGAGGACGAAATTATTCTTGATGTTTTCTTCAGTTACTCGGCCAAGGTGTTGTTGGAAAACGTTTAGTATGGCGTGTAACAGCTCGAAAACTGCAGCCGCGTTAAGGTTTCGCCGGCTTACAGCGCAAAGCCAGATGTTGCCACGCTTAACGTGGAAGAAACTGGTTCGCGCGATATTTATTATGGGTGAGCGCACCTGGAAAAAAAGACGGGATACGGAGACTTTAGGAAAAGCAAAGGATAGGGGAAAACGATATGAAAAGGCTTTGGCTCCAATAAAAAATAGGTATCTTCGCTGTACGTGAATCCCACACCGAATAGATAGAAAACGGTGTAACTGGCACAGTTCTGACTTTTGCACACCTGAACACAGTTCTATACATATAAAAGTACGCTAAGTTTGCTACTACTTACACAGATTCGATAAACGTAAGAACAAGCCGACGAAGTCCTTCAGATATAAACTTTGCGGCAAACTAGTGAAAGCGTCAGACAGACAAAATGAAGCTTGTTTGACGAGTGCCAAATTGAATGAATAAGATAATATGGGTGTTAAGAACGTATGCATGTGGTGGGCTAGCAAAAAGCGGAACAGTTGGAGGAAATAACGAAGACGAGGGCAACTGGAGTGCCCGCCTTCGGCAAGCCGGACAATGTAAACTAGTCACTACACTAGCTTATGCGATGACTCCTGATAGGACTCACAATCCAATAGACG